CCCCCCCCTTTCGAAGTTCTTACCCATATAATTTCACAGAGGAACACGTATTTAACCTTACCACCGAACTCGTAACCTTTCCAGTGCCAAAATGGGAGATAACTAGTGAATGAAACAAGACTCGCTGCCGGAAATAAAGCTGACGACAACTAACGAGCCAAGAAGCGGCTCATCAGCAAGTTGCAGCACATTTCCAGTGAAGCATTGCGGTTCAGATGTGGCGTAAATGGCATAACTAATTCTTCAATAAATCCACTTCGGTGTTATTTTTATATTAATTAGCTAAAAATTCGTTTCAAAACGTTGATAAAATGTTCCCCCTTTTTTTTTAGTTTCCAAAAGGTGTTTTTTCTTGAAAAAATTCCTGCTTTCACAAGCCTCTAAACTCATATAGTTAAGATTATTAGTGCTAATTTTACTATTGATACTCGCAAAATGAGATCGCGACTGAAGTAAATAAAAAATTACTTTCCGCCTTCCTCCCAATCGAACGGATCAGTTAGCTGATAATTTTTTCGTTCGCAAATTTCGCGGAGCTTTTGTGCGATCAGGGGATAATTTGGACGGTCCGAATAGTCCAGCTGTCGGATATGATCGTAAATGGCAAAAAACTCGCGTGGACAATTTTTGAACAGACGGCCTTCACATTCCATCTGCAAAAAGCATTCTGATGAAACAGAACCGACGACGGCTTAAAGCTACAATGATTCTAAAAGCCTGGAAAAATAAAGCACCTATTACCCAGCTCATGTAACTAAAATGGAATATTTGTGAAAAACACTCTCGAATTTCTGTGATGTCGTGATATTCGTCCGCTGATAATCAGAGTGGCCATCCTGTGCATCTTTCTAAAATTCACTAATCTAACATCACTTAACTGGAGCTGAATGATAGGCTCAGTCCGAATAATTCAAAAAGTGAAAGCTGTTGATGCCCAGCGGCTATAAAATTTTATTCGTGTAGCCATGTCAAACCTCTTCTAATGCTCTGATTCTCTTTTATCTTTGTGAGGAAGCCCGATCCTGAACCAGCAACAAAATTCGCTGGCATCTTCTACACCTTAATGCTACTGAGAATATGTGCTACGCGCTAACCTTCAAGTTGAGGAGATCGTCGTAGGACGAAGACTTCCATGGTAGCGTCCCAACAATAAATTCAACCATCATATAGAGAAACGACCACAGGTCATCACGTCTCCCTAAGCAGCTTGCGGCCGAATCATATCACTTATTTAGAAAGTTCTTGTTCAGTTTTGATATTTACATAAATATGCATATATACCACACCAATAATTACAAACCCCTATGCACACATTTGTGCACACATAAACACACGCAGACATATGCATAAGTACGCATACGCGCGCCCACATACACAAAACACATTTATAACACTATCTACCTTTATTTATAATGCAATAATTTATGACACAACCGCTGTACTGACGTTCGTGGAATTCTGACTTTGAGTTAAGAATGGACCGAAACTTCTTAATCTCAGCTAAAGTATTAATTCTTCACATATTTAAATGTTTCAGTCTTTAATATTTCCAATAATATTTCGCAATTAGCTGAGATAACCACTCTGCAAATTACTTGTAAAATTCTACTTTAACTTAGCAATTAACTGGAAATTAAATATATATTGCGATCATCAACAATATGAAGAGCTTCGGTTTGGGTACGGCAAAATAAGGTATTACTCTCCGTCCAACTTTCCTTACCTTGCTCCATACGCATATGCACGTTAACGGAGCAGTAACGGTCAGTGCCCAAATAAGGTGCCTTTGCGCGTGCATTACGATGATGCAGTTGTCCATCGACACCATTCTTTAACTGAAGATGGAAATCATGATCAGATATCATGATCAGTCATGATTAAATAAAGTAGTAATTTATACGTAATTACACGGTAAATGGGTTATAAAAAAACGACGTGCGGTAAAATTATGTGCTTTTACAATCTGTTGCAGCTGCTTCAGCAAATCCTAATAGGCATTCTTGGTGATATAGGCCCTCCAGCAAGTGCACTTAAATCAGTTGCTGTTCATCTTTTGCTTCATAACCGCTCTCATGATCCACTGATGCAACTGGCAATTTCTCCATCCGTCTTTATTTTTGACTTCTCTATCAGGTAGAAACTCATAAAAATTAATTTCTTCAGTGAATAGAACAAATTTTGCGGTCGCGAAGAGTTGACCAGTAGGTCAAGTACCACTAGTCAAAGCGACTTACGTAAAATCGGGCAAAGCCAAAATCGATCATATGGACTACACGTTGCAAATCACCCTGGCCCATTGCAAAATTCGAGCCTTTGACATCACGATGTATCATGCCAATGCAGTGCAGATCTTCGATTGCCTTCAAAAAATAGAAGAGATGAAACTTCCTGACATCCCTCGGTTTGTGCTTATATATTTTGTGCAAAAATGCTCAATTAAGACGTATTTGAACCGTGACATTACTTGGGTTAAGTTACGGGGGCCAGCAAGTGTTTCAAGTGGTCGTGGTACTTTTTTTGAGGCACCGGTGGAGATTGTTGCGAAACCTTGTGATTCGTTTGTAAGCAACTGATATAATTAATCAAAGCAAACGAGTTGTTTTTTCTAGCCTATTCTTTTTATAAACTATAGCTTTCGCAATAACCTAGTCAGAAAAATGAGGCAAGAAGCTGAATACGACTGGAGAAAAATTGTTGATAAATTTTTGCGGTTTTTTGCATTTTTTACATGAGTATTAAAAAAAAACGATAATGTGTGCGCATATGTTCTTGGGTATGTGAGTATATGTGTAAGTGTATGTAAGTATGCTTGTATGTTATGTATGTGTGTGTGTGTGTGTGTGTGTGT